TGAAGCTTCAGGGGTATAACTGACATTCAACCTGGAAAACATTGAGGTCACATAGATGGCCCTGTTTTCAAATCTTTTATAAATGTACTGATGTGAGAAATAGAAAATAATCCAGTTTACTCTCCTGTAGCTGGATAGATTGTGCAATATATTAAAAATTATAATAAAATATAACTATAAATTATAATAAACCCTAATATAAAAATGTACTTATTCAGTAGGTAGATATAACTGACTAGACACAGGAAACATCTATTGAATAAGAAGGTACCATTTTCACATAGTCACTTCTTTAGAGGAATTCTGCACTTTTTAAAACTGACTGACTAGGTATGATCAAGGTTAGTTTTTTGTAGTTGTCTAGGACTTAAAGTCTCTTGTCTAAAAGCCAGTAAGCAGTTAATTTGTTTGAGTCGGAAGATGTACCATGTTGATCACCTGTTTCCTGGGAAACAGATACTATAATAAGATAGATGGTTCAGAAATAAAATCCAGGAACCAAACTCCAGATCAGGAAATTGTGGGTTTTAATTAAGGGCCATCTTTAATTATGTTAAACACTGTGAACAAACAAACAAAATTCTACTAAGGCCCATTTCTAATTTGATTTACAGAACATGGCCAGACCAGTTTTGTTTTTGTTCTTCTTTTTTTCAGGATTTATTGTATTATGAATTCTCATTAGTGACATATTCTCCCTAGTTGGTGTCCAAACTGGACAACCCTAGTTCTTGTTATGACTGGGCTGTTTGGTTACTCGAGCAAATGGAACTATTATGAACCCAACAGTGATGGTGATAACTACTTTCTATTTGCATGTTCCTTAGTGAAGTTCATTTTAAGTTTACTTTCAATGTGGAATTTTCAATGGGGCCAAAGAGAATTAGGACCCAACTCCCATGGACTTCTACAGGAATCTGTGTACCTAATTCCCTTGGGGAAGGTAAGGAAGTGATACTCTTCCAAGCTCCACTCTTAAGATAAATTCCACCCAACTGAGTTGTCGTCCCCTCCTGCCCCCCCAAAAGTTGATCATTGCAGTGAATATGCCCCTGGCCTCTGCAAGACTCTTTGGGCTTGTTTTCTTCTTGATTAGGAGGGGAAAAAAACAAGTATGGTATCTCCCAAATAACACCTACTCATGGCACCAAAAGGAGATGTCAATCTCAGAAAATTGTGTGCATTTCTGACCCTCTTCCTCCTTTTTTACACAGGGAAGGAAATAGTTAACAATATTGATATTCTAATTATCACTGGGTGTCTGCATTAACTCCTCACTGAGAGGAGTGAGGCAGGTCACACCTCTCAGCTCCATTGTTCCAGGTTCTCTGAAGACTCGTTTCTGCATTGGTTATACATTTTTAGATTTTCTTCATAACCATAACAGCAAAAAGACATTTTTTTTTAATGAAAGCTGAGATTCTGGAGAATAAAAGTTACCTTCAGAGAGATGCTAGTATCATGTACAGGCATATGCCAGATGTTTCTGAATGCAGGTTGAGTGTAACATCTCAACATGAGCTTTCATAGACTACCTGGGCAGGCTCTTATGGTTTCAGTTTTTATTTTCATTTATTTGTAGGCTTTTTCTTTCCTAAACTAGCATGAGTTTTGTCTTTATTTGTTGACATTTAGCAAAGGTCATCATTAGCACAGTTAAATTATGCTATGTTAACTGAAATTATCTAACTTCTGAGCAACATCAGGCAGTGTCAATTTATAGCCCTATTTCATGCATAATATCTTGAAGGGAGGAGCAACATGTTTTTTTCCATACAGTGATGATTTATGTTATCTTTACTGCAGTTCACATCCTTTTTGCTAGAATGTGACACAGCGTGGCAGAAAATAGACACTTGAAACTATGTCAGCAATAGCATTTGCTTCTATAAAAATGATGCAACAAGCAAGTTGGCTTCTAATGTCAACAAGATAATATGCCTGTTTTGTCTTATTACCCCCGCATTATTTTTCAGACTCAGAGGCGCTATTACATGCTCTTTCATACGCTGTTCTGCTTTAATACTGCAATGATATAATTTTTGTCATCACTGCCTTTGTCTCCTTCTTGACATGTTCTCCTATTCTGTAGCCAGTGTTGTCATTTACCTTAATAGTTCAGTTAGTTATTCCATTGCTTACACAATCATCTCACAATGTCTACAGATAATTGTGCATATTTGGGGTAAAATCCCTGCAAAACTCCCATTGAGTTCAGGTTTTCACTTTTTTGTAAAAAAAAATAAAAAAATAGAGAGTTCTAAAAATATAATAGAGAGGGTGGTCTGAGAAAAACAAAACAAGAAAGTGGGAGTCAGGACTTGTGGTTCTGACACTGATTTGTTATGTAAATTTGAGCAAGTCACTTAATCTCTCAGTGCCACAGTTGTAAAATGTATACGATAATACTTATTTACTTGGGAGTAGATAAGCTTAAATAAGTTATATACTTGCAAAATGTGATGTGACAAAATCCCATCCATCTTTTAGCAATGTAATTTCTCTGCCTGAATTTGTTTTGGCTTATCATTTCAGTACTTTGTTTTCTCAACATTTTGAACTATACTAAATAAAAAGAGAACATTAGAATCTTTATTTTCCACTGCTTTGTACACCTGTCATCACTCTTGTGCAAAGAGAGTGAAAAATGTGTATAAAACCACCATGTGAAAATAGCAGTGTTTTATTTACTTTGTACAAATGTGGATGACTAGGTGACCACTCCTGTGCCCACTGATGTTTGTAGGATAAGGGGCTGTGATCACTGAACACCACCAGGTGAATGGCAATCTCCCAACAAGTTCAATAGGGTGGGATCAAGTCCTTGCTGAACAATCAGGCAGTTAATCTGAAAATAGAAGTTAGGATACTCTTTTTAAGCCAGTACAACTACTATAATTCACTTTTTCTATTGCATCTGTTCATGTGGCCTGAATTTCTACTGCATTGTACCTTGAGTAGTCATTTGGACCACTGCGAAGTTAAGGAAAAACACTGCCAGAATGGTAACATCTTGTGTATCCCTTTTGCATTTGCATTGTACAGATGTAACAGACTTAACAGACTACAAGGTGCAAAGCAATGAAGAATCAGCCCCATGTATTGGTATGGACAGTCAACTTTTCATGTTTTAAGTGATACCAAACTCAAACAATTTGTGGGGCTCTTGGAGGAGGCTTTTGGTGCCATTCTATATTCTTATTTATTCCAGTTAGTTGACTTTCCATATTTTTTTCCTGTGCACATGCAAATTATTAACTTCTTTTGGTGCATTGCCCCACTATTAATTATGGTGGCTATGCTAGCTTGGTTGCTTTGTTTAGGTTTACAGAAGTCATTATGCAAAAGTTTTGAGATTGCAGGAACAGATCTATTTTAGCCTTTTGGAAAGATATGGGGCAGGTTTTGGAACTAGAATGAACTGGAACCTACTAAAGCAAAGCCCTTGTTGACCAGTGCACAGAACACCCTCACCCATAATCATTTTGAAGGATGGTACAGATGAAGAATCATTGCTGAATAAGGCCTCTATCTTCCTTTTGAGAAAGAAAAGTTTTGAAAAGCGGGTCAGCACTGTCCTGGAAAGTATCAATCTATTTTCATGTGGGATATATGTAACAAGACATTGGTAGACATGTAAATTGAAATATGCTCCTTGCCAGCTGCTTAATGTCATTACTATAGACATACAGTAAGGACTCTTGATCAATAGGCACTTAATTGCCTTCCAGGTCCCTCAAAACTCTTCTTTTTGTCTCCTATAATGTTACCCCTTCTGCTTCATAAGGATGTCCACCTTGAATGCCTATTTGTCTGCTTCTCTCAAAAAGATCTCCATGCTCTTTTTGTTTTTTTTCATGCTTGGAATGGCCTTTCTTGAGTTAATCATAAAATCACTACTCTCTCTTCCTTCAGGTCTCTCCTCTAGACAGACTCACTTCTGCTATGACACATTCAAAAAATAAGCTAACCAATTTAGGGAGCTAATTTTATTATTTTATTTTAGTAAGATTTCTTGTCATGAAAGTGTTCAATTGACAGTCTATGTAAGCACATTATCTTAATTTTTATGTTCTGTTTCTTCCCTCTTTTTTAATGTCACACTTGCTGGATATTATCTGAAATTAGAGTGCAAGCATTTGGAAGCAAGGACAGTGTCTTCATATATGTTTTTACACTGCCTAGCAAAATGCAGCACTGATACTCATTGAGGCTTCTAGGTGCTTCCACAAATAACTCATACAATTGCATGTTCTTCTGGTCACTAATCTAAAGGAATTTGTTAGCAGGAGATTTGTGAAAAATGTGTGAGGCCTGAGATTCCTAACAAGCCCCCTCTACAAAACCGCATAGTGGAATTGAAAGATTCATAAGTGTTAAACATTTTTTCAGAGACCTTCCAGAGAACAAAGGTTAAAGAGTCTATAAGGTCAAGAGGGTTAAAATAGCAGGTGTTGTGTGTATGGCAAGTTGTGAGGAAGAAGGAATAAGAAATTGACTTTCCCATTTCATTCATAGCAACAGTGTTACGTGTTCATAAATTTATATTTTTTCCCTCTCTTCAAAAGAACCATTGAAATGTACTACCACATTGTATTCAAAGTTCAGTCTTGATTTTGATCTTGTTGAAAGGAATACACTTCAAGTATTTTGACACCTAATCCTCGCTACTCACTTTTATCATTTCAGATTGAGGTATAAGTAACCACTTCCAGTACCTGTGATAACCAAGACTGAAAAATATCTTATCTGCAGATAATGGAAGGTGCTCCTTGGAACTCCAGCCCCTTGATATCTCAGTGTAAAGGATGTCTGTCTTCTTTTGCCTAGGGTTTTCAACATTGTGGCATGACATCAGGGAAAAATGTGATATATGCAAGCTACAAAGTGCTTTTAAAGAGAAAAATCTGTTATATAATCAAAGGAGGTTAATGCATATGAAACCTTCACCGGGTATGTATGGGCAATATAGAGTGTTAATAAGGTCCTGGAGAGTGGTAAAAGATTAAAACAAACAGGCACTTTATTGCCGTAACATAAAAATTTCTCATGAGATGCTATCATTAGGTAGATCATTACAGGTATTTTTTGTCATCTTGTATTGTAAACTGAATTGGCATTAACTGGGCCGATGTTTTGCACAATAAACTATAAAATAAGGATTTATGATGGCAGCAGAAGCTACATAAAATTTGTTTGTGGTGCTGAATGTTATATATAGGATCCTGAGATAAGGGAACAGAGGTCTCACAAGAACTCTTTTAGGTACTAAACATGAGCAAAGAGTACTTCATCCACCTGCTGTAGCAAACCCCCAAATATCCACTTTAGCCATAAGACTAGTTCAAGAAGATGGTGACTCCTGAAGGGATATCACCATGGCCAAGTGACAGGGATCATCAAAAACTTGGATTAATTATAACATTAGCTATAGCCTGACAGCTATAGGTATAGAGACACAATAAAGTGTAGGGGAGCAGAATAATATGTTGATCAGCAAGACAGGACGATTTAAATGTCCCTTGGCTGTCAATAAACCCTCAATGTTAAGTTGTAAGACTCGGAATGCGGGCCTGATGGTATGGGAACTGCAGGACTGCACGTTCTTAGGGCTACCAGAAGAGGTGATACTGAGATTCTTCAAGTATGAGCTTGCAGATTCAGTTTGCTAGGAGGATCATTAGCTTACCCGGACTGTGCCATTTGAAGCCCAATGATAACATAAGTTTTGAGGTCGTGCATCAAATCTGGATCAAACAAGTCAAGGAAGATTTTTTGTTTGTTTTTATCTAGTTTTTTTAAAAGAGAAACAAGTGTGATCAGCCCATCTTGCTGATCAACATATTATCGATGTGATCTGAATACAAGAAACTCATGTTTTATTTAATGAAGCTGGTCAATACAAGATTGATGGCTTCGACCTGATATGCCTTGCTGCACATTCAAAGCACGGCCGTGCCACATATGATTGGGCCACCATGGCAGACGCAGTCCATTTGTTATCCACTGAATACTGAGATGTCATCAAGATTGACGCATTTCAGATAGCAAACATCTGTAAGCCACCGAGCTTACACACACACCCTTTATCTACTGAAGTCTGTACCCCTGCTCACATTTTCCAAGTTATGGAATTGGGGATAGCAAGAAAATCTGGGAACAGAACAAAATAAAACTTCACTCCAGTATTTCAAAACTCTTCAGGGCCTTGTGTCTGAAGTCATTAAACACCAGTCTGTTGGCTTCAGGAAAGGCAGTCCTTAGAAGCAATGTCAAATCGCTGGGTTAAAACGAACCAATGAAATAAAGTGCAATGAAGTCTAAGGGACACAAATGGCTCTGTTAACGTGTGTTCAAGCGAACACATCTGGCTATTCTGGCTGATGTTTTCACTGCTAATGGACCATGCAGCTGTTCCTATCCGATAAGGAAAGTCAGAGGAGAGTGTGTCTTGAGCAGAGCCCTGTGGAAAATAAATTAATGACACAATGATTAGTCATACAGAGGACATTCAGACGAGTGACAGTGGCTTTCAGGAGCTAGTACAGCATGCTATAGCGTGTGTCAAGTGGGCAAGAGCTGTTAGTTTAAAGAATTTACACATTAAAGCTACTGTAGTTTGGTTTTACAGCTCTCTACTTTACACTACCAAGAAAACTTTTTTAAAAGAATAGACTATTGCTTTCAAATATAAACATATTTGTCTGTTTTTACAGTTGAAGTCATTCCCTCCCTTGATTTACTAGCTACTAGTTCTGACATTATGACACATTTCCAGCTCTATCATGCTACATCCCTAGCAGAATTTCCAGTTTGATTTAAAGCCATGTATGATCTAAAACAAAAGAATAAGACCTACATTTTCTAGGCTGGGTCCTAGATTAAAAATTGACTGGAAAATCTCTCTCTACTTACAATATCATACTGAAGAAGAAAAAAAAAGAAAAAAACAAGCCTCATCTCTTAAATATCTAATGGAATACATTTTAAAATTACCCTATCAAATCTCTGGAAAACTTGCTACTTCATTGAAAAATCCTATAACTTTAACAGAGATGCTTAAAGACAAATTAAATTAAAGGGTGGCCTTCTAACAAATCTTATGTTCCAGAAAGAAAATCAGATACAACTTTATTTCTATAGAACAACAAGGAAACAAGTTGTTCCAGAGATTCCTTTGTAATTATTTCTGACAAATTGGTAATCTATACACTTTTATATGCAAGGCACTCTTTCCCATCTCCATTTCCACTGACATGCCATGTGCCCAGTTCTGCATGTTTCTCTAGGTAGGTGGATTCCTGTATCAACATTGAGTACCTTGCAGGATCAGGGTCTATCTTACAGTAGAAGAGTACAGGCTAATTTAACTTTTACCCTGATGTTGTTGGTTTCACGTTTCCTAACAATGGCAGACTATATGAGTTATATGGCATCAGATCCAGAACTCACTGAAGTTAAAGGGCATTGGGTTAGGTCACTAATTGCTACAGCATTCTGATCTGTTACAGCATTCCAGAAAAGGCATTTAGAAGTGTGACAGTGGGTTTCAGGAACTAGTTTAATTTAACATAACATTACAACTTCCTGAGGCCTTCCTGAATATTCTTAGGGTGGTGCAGCACTACACTGCCTCCAACTCACAACTGTGCCATAGAGGAGCTTAAAGGAAATAGCTTACATTTTCCAACAGCACTAGACTCTGATCTCACACCAGTGAAGAGCTAGAGTAATCACACTGAAATCAATGGTGTTTAAAAAAAAAAGAAAATCTGTTTTTAAGAGCAATTGAAATATCCGGGGGGCGGGGGGAGGGGTGCAAAACTAGGGTTACCATACGTCCGTTTTTTCCCCAACTTGTCCGGCTTTTCGGCAATCAAACCCCCATCCGGGGGGAATTGCCAAAAAGCCGAACATGTCCGGGAAAAATACTGGCCAGGCACTTCCTCTCCCGCGGCTGCTCTGCTCCTCCCCGGACTCAGACTTCGGCTCTGTTTAAGAGCCAAGCTGCCGGAGCCAGCGCTACCGGCTTTGGGCAGCCCCTGTGCCTCCGGA